GCTGAATGCTCTAATGATTGATTGTGCCAAAAAGTTGCCATTAAACCTGTAACTGACCACAGATTGGACTACGTGACTGCTAGGTTGGCCTCTTTTTTGTCTGTCTATTTTGGATAGAACAAAGCGGTGTGGCACAGAAAACCCAAATCTAACAATTCAACCGAACTTCGTGTTACTGGAATTTTTTTTTTGTTCGTGAAATTTTTAATTATAGAACTTAATTTGTTGAAACGCTTTTTATCTTGATGATTGATCATTATTAGGTCTAAAAACCGAAAACTATAAAAACCTAATTCCGTCTTATGTAACCAAATTGAAAATTGCACAGCTCAGTGGCGAGCCGATAACCTTCAGGCCAAAATACGAGTAGATTCTCAAAGGAGTCATATAATTGTAGTTATTGTGGAGAACAATTAAACATTAAATGACGTTTTTTTGTCTTGTTCTATTTTTGTTGCTGCCTGCCCTGTTCATGAAACGTCAATAAAACACAATAAACAAACTGGTTGACCAAGTTGCAAGCGCCTAGTTGGCTGCTGGCCCATACAGAAGCTGCGATCAGTCAGCCGTTAAAGGTTCACGCCCAAGGACAAGGAAATCCCCTGGCACAGACCTAGAGCTTAGTGAATGGAATGGCCTGGTCCCGCATGCGTGCTATATGACATGAATCACGACTATAGCCAACATCGTGTCGATTGCTGCGGCCTAGTCTAAAACAATTTTGTGACTTCTAAAACCTTGGCTGTATGACTGTTTGCCTGTCTGGCTATCTGGCTATCTGGCTATCTTGCTGTCTGTCTCTCTGCTTGTGCCTCTGTCTTATATTTAATAACTTGAGTTTAGTATGTTTAAGCAAGCGACTCATACAATTAAATTTAAATAAAAAATAAAGAATTAAACAACAAATTATAAACGCTTTGCCTTAATTATGCAGCACACAAAGAACAATAATAGAAAATAATGTCGGAAGAAAAGTTGCACATATACGTGAAGGAACACGAAGTATGGAGATAAAGAATTGTAGACACAACATGCACGAATCAAACGATACTGGAAGTCCGTGTCTATGAGTGTGTGAAAAAAATAAAAAACAAATTCGAAGTCGATGGCTACACTTCCTAAACTGCGCGAAAATCGGAAGTAAAATTTACAGCAAAAGTGAATGTCACTTTTGGGCGTTAAGCATTTAAGAAGTATATATAGTATATGTATGTATATACAATTATGGCAATAATTGCACTTTTGAGTATTTGAGTCTATGTTTTGGGTAAACTTAAAAATTTCAAATACCTAAAATACTTGTCGGATATAAAAGAGCCTTTACCATATAGAAGTACATACATTTCAAGTGCCGAGTCCATCTGTAGTATTTAATTGTCTGTATAAAGCCATTATCTAGAAGCCGCCTAGTGTATAGGAATGTCTGTAAAAACAAGCTGACAAAACATTCCTTGATTTTACCTGACTGTTAATAAAAACAGTTCCCCATCTACTAACGTTTTATAAAGTATTTTAATTTTACAAGTAGGTTATGTTGCTTTGTATTTCTTGGTAGTTATTTCAAATTTTCATATTCTATACATTCCTCTTTAGCTAGTTTTAAATTTCAATTCTCGTGTTTCTTCCTATAATAATCTTATTAATTATTGCCTACCTATCTACCTACCTAATTATATCATTAGTCTCTACAAATTGGCAAAATTCCTCAAATTTAATTAGCTTAACTCTGACATTTCAAATGAACAATATCGGTCCCGTAAGATATTTTAAAACAATTTGTTTATATTATTGTATTATTATTGAAATGTGCTTCCTTTAGTTTTTAAATTACTATTATACTTTTGTTACTTTTATTCTAATGTCAGGAATTATGATGATGAAATGTTCTTTTTAAAAAATACTTATAGACTTTATAGTTAAAAATCCATAATATTACTTATGTGGCACAGAATTAGACCATTTAAATACAGGATTAAGCCCAATGCTAATAAGGTCTTTCGTTTGTCTCATTATAAAATAAGGTTGTAAATTGAAGCTTTTTATGAATTTGATTAAAAAGTACAATATTCTATTTTTGTTGTGCATTAGAATAAATGGTGTTTGCATAATTCTTTGAATACCAGTACCAGAATAAAACAGTTCAATTTTGAATTCAGCCAATGATGTGGCGTTTCATTTCCCATTCACCTAAGCTTTAAATACTTTTGTAATTCTATATAATATTAATATTATTAGAACGATTGTCAAAAAAACGTGTAAAATAACATTAGCGAGAAGCGTAGACTTACAAGTTCAAAGAATTTGTAAATGAAGTTAATTAAAAACTGAAATCATAACATTTAGAGGAAATTTTTAAGCAAATGTGAACATGCTTGTGAAAACCATTTTATAATTTGCTTTCAAATTAAAAATTTAATTCATATTTGTTTGTTGTTAACGAGAGTCGTGTTTGTGTGTAATTTTCCCTTTGTTGGGGTTATTCCTATGCCTTATGCCTTTATTATTATGCACTAAGGGTTATTACTACCTAAGTGCATAAAATATGGGTCTGCTGGATGCCAGACAGATGTATCGTGAATTTTATTATAGAATTTAATATCTTAATTCATATAACACTCACACACACACACTCATACAGATAAATGCATGCGCACACTGAGACAAACAAGCTACACGAGTAGCTCATTACGCGCCAAGTCTCGTTAATAGTTGTAGTTAGTAATAGTATCTTAAATTTGATCTACAAATTTGATCAATTGCATTACGAGCTGCTTTTTGCTGTTTCATTGCAAGGATGACCAGATTTTTTTCAGTTTTATTCTCTCGTGCAAGTACAAGTGCAATTTGCACGCTCCGTATGTAGATCAATGGCAAACGCTTGAGCGACTGCCATAGATGCTGAATTTGGTTAAAAAAAAACTAATCAAAGTGTCATTCAAATAATTGAATCGGCTAAGTAAGCAGCGGCAGCGGCAGCAGCCAAGAGCTCTAAATTGAGTGACTGAAGTCAACCTCGTTGCAGTTGTTATCAAATCACAGGAATATTTAATAAGTCGGCTTGCTAAATCAAAGTCGTACAGTTGCCAGCTGGCAAGTGAGTTATAAAATGCATATGAAAAATGCAAATACATAAATGCCTTTGGCCAGATGTGCTGCGCTGTGGGTTGTTAGGATGGAAGGCTATACTAAGTAGCTGGCTATGTATGTAACAGACAGTAGGGGTACATATACAATCAGCAGTGATGTCTGATAAGTCTGTCCATGCGACTGACTGTCCGCCTGTATGAGCCTCGACAATTTTTAATTCATAATGCCTAGGGATCCAAAACTTGGCAAATAGACTTTGACTTATCTACACGTAAACCAAGCTTATAAGTGTTAACATGCCTCTATATAGTTGCCAGAAAAACGATTTGAATACAAATAATTTGCTATAAAAAAATTTGATTGCTTATCATGAATTCAGGACCAAATTTTGTATTCATAAGTTTCGTGTAGTGCCCCACTATTTTCTATAGTTGCGCTAAAATCAATGCAATATAGCTGCCATAGAAGTTATGTTCTTAAGTAAGACTAATTTTTTTAATCACGAAATATTCTCTATATTCTCAAGAAGCAACTATTTGGGCTTTTCCTAATATTCATTTTGTTTTATAAAATTTATAGTGAAGGAAGGTGACTAATAATTAAAGTGTATACAAGAATCAAGCGCCACTATTTATGCATTCTACTAGATTTTTGTTTTGACTGCCAGACAATTATGCGAATCAGTTGCTCCATTTAATTTGTAACGCTTACGCATGCAAATGCATTTAATAAGCTTTTAATGTTAATTACCGAACGATATGTGCTGTTTATGGTGCTAATGCTAATGTTAGTAATAGCCTAGTAATGTTAGTAACGCCTACTTAACGCCCATTTCCTGTTTTTGCTAAACACATAACTCAAGGTATGCGATATCGTAATAGATCACACAGCATGCGTGGCTGACTTTCACTTAAGCACTTGATCAAGATCCTTCTAAGTTCTAAGCATCCGTCAGCGTATCCGTAATTGGAGCAAATACTCGTATGTGTTTGCAAACACAAATAGTTATACAATTCAAAATCTTTATGAATGACTAAATGTGCCGTACTGTCGATCAATCGGTCAAAAGGGGGAAAATCCGAAACAAAACAAATCAATTTACAAAGCAACTTAATAAAGACACATTAGCAGCACTTAAGGCAATGACAATGACAGCGGCTAACGCGCGCGCGCGCTCGAGTTCTCCATTGTTGTTATTGTTGTTGTATTTAAATACAGCGAACGTCACATGGGGCGTATGCGCAATGTTTGTGCTTTTTCCTCTATGTTTTGGTTTTTTCTCTTCATTTTTCTATAATGTTGCAAAGTTGCCTAAATTCATTTCACATCTGCGGCTTATGCTAAGCAAATTAAATAAATACCCAAATGGAGTGACGCGCATGCGCACGCGCAAAACTCCCAATAGCAGCAGCAATAACAATAACAATAACACGGCCAGCTGTACGATAATTCTAGCTCAGAGCAGAGCAGAGCAGAGGTGAGCAGAGCAGAGCAGCGCAGCCGCCGCCTCGTCACCGCGCCGCGCCACGCCGCACTTGAACTTGGTACGACTAAAACCCCACTACATTGCCCCCAAAGCGCTTGCGTCTGTGGTGAGAGGAAACCCCAGTGGGCAACAACAATATGTGCATGCATGTGTGTTGGTTTTTGCTCTCGCCGTCGTGGACCGGCCGGAGCAACTACGTCACATGCGAAAACCTGTCGTCGTCGCTGACGCTGACGTTGACGTCTCGGTTCGGCCGAAGCTCCGGCAACGGGTATTTAAGCGCTCGCCTCCGAACACAGAGCACTCATTGATTCGCTATCATTCGCTCCAAAGACTTGCCAGACATTTTGTTGGTTTAAGTAGTTGTGCTGCTGTTTGTTGTAATTAAATATTAGCTGAAGGATAATACTCTACTCCCAAGTTTGAATTCGAAAAGTTTAGTATTCAAAGAAAAAAGTTTATTTATCTTAACAACAAAGTTTCGAGTTCGTGGAAAGAAAAGGATAATTTAAAAAAAAAAATCTGTGCTTTTCCCTGCCGTGAGAAACAAGAGAGTAGTTCCAGTATTCCCCCGGAGCCAGCTAAATTCTAGACGCAAACAGCCGTTTCAGGAGCATTTCAGCACACATAAGCAGTGAAAGTGCATAACGTTCGAGTGCTTAGTGCAAAGTATTAAAGCGAAAAACAACAAGTAAACAAATAGTAAACAAGTGTTTAGTAAACACATTGTATAAATTTTTGATTTAAAAAACAACCACAAAACAAAACACACAAAACAAAATGATGGCCGTCGCTGCTGCCCAAAAGAACCGCGAGATGTTCGCTATCAAGAAATCCTACAGTATTGAGGTGAGTAAAGAAATGTTTGGAATTAAACTTTTTATCACGGTCTACGTGACTCTGTTGCCCACACCATATTTTCAAAACCAGTCCGCCCCTCCCCCCCACCAAAAAAAAAAAAAAAAAAAAAATAGTCAAACAATACAAATTCAAAAACATTGTCAACATCATCCAAACGATGAGATGGCAAAATTTTGTCGCTTTTATGTGTGGCCTTTTGCCAAAGATGACCCAAAATTGCCAATAATTCACACTTCATTTTCACACCCAAGAACAAAGTGGGTAGCAAACATAACAAGAGGTGTTACAACAACAACAATAGCAACAGCAGCAACAAAGTTAACAGACAGCAACTCAAATAAAACGGCTGTTATAAATTATTATTATTTAACAAATACACGTCGAGCGCCAGAGAGTGAAAGTGTTGTGCTTGCTGGCTGCCTTCATGCCTGCCTGCCTGCCTGTCTGTCTGTCCACCTGTCCACCTGTCTGCCTGCCTGCCCGCCCTGCTGGGTTGGCTGAGACCCTCTGGGTCTCTGGGTCTCTGGCTGCCTGCAACTTGCACAAAGACGCGCCTTATTGTTGACCCACACGGCTACCACGATTGTTTATGTTGTGTGTCTGAGGCCAAAAAAAAAAACAAAACAAAAACATATATGAATTCAATAAAAATGATTCAATGCGGCGCATATCTTTCATCAGACTACCACCACCAACAACAACAACAACAGTTTCACTTGTTGTTGCCGCTTATGCTGCAACAGGTGCCCAAGGCGATGGCATCTTCCATTGGTATTTGGAGCACCGTTAAATCTTCCCAGTTGCAACTCACAGATTCTACCCAACTCTGCCAAAGAAAACTTTCAACCTGTCTATGATATCATAAATTATACACACAATTAAAGCAAAATCATTCATTTATGTGCTGTTGACAATACCATCAAGTTTGTGAATAGAGGCAGCCGCCGCCAACTGATCTGAGCATTGTTCAGAGCTCAACGCTTTCACGCAACCAATAAATAATAGACAACAAAAAATAAATACAACAAATACATAAGTATATGCGAAGAAGTTGTAAAATTATGCAATTCAAATATTATGCAATAATCAGAGGCGGGGGCACGTGTAGCTCCTAGCAGCTTTAAAGCTGAAGGTCAAGGCAACAAGTCTTCTGTGTATGTCTGTTTCTAATATCCGGCGCATATCCTGCACATCCGCCTTTGTCGCTGGCAGTTGAACTGAACTTTGTCAACTTCTTTATTTTGTAGAATGGCTATCCATCCCGTCGCCGCTCGCTGGTCGATGATGCACGCTTCGAGACCCTCGTGGTCAAGCAGACCAAACAAACCGTGCTGGAGGAGGCGCGCAACAAGGCAAATGGTAAGCTTAGCGACTAAGAAAATAAATCCAACTATAGTATAGGAAAAATTGAAGTGAGATTTTAAAGGAAGGCCATTTAGGGCTTCCCAGTATTTTACGAAATTTAATTTGCATTTCCTTTGGTTTTTAATTTGCCTCATTTCGTGATCTATTATTTGCATTATTTTAAATTTTTATTTTGTTTTATTTTCATTTAATAGATGCCTCCTTGGAGGAATGCATTCAGCAAGCCAAGGGCGAGCACATTCCCGCCGAGCAAAATGTTGAGCTGCAGGATGAGCAGCCCAACTTTGAGAACTTGCCAGCCGAGGAAGAATATGTTGCAGGTGCTTATCATTTATAATTTACTATTTGTGTTGTATTATTATTGTCTTTATTTTATATTTTATTTATATATTCTTTGTTTGCTTCTTCTGTGTTTCGTTTGTTTTAGTTGATGAAATTGAAAGTGAAGTCGCTGTTGAGTCCGAAGCTCAGCAAAGTGGCGACGAGCAGCCACACAAGAACGGTAAGCCACTAAATATAAGCATAATAATCATACTTCTGTGAGTGGTTGGGTGGTGTGGCCTGCACTAAGTACCTACTTAAGTTTGAAGAGCTTTGAAAAGCGTGCGACATTGATTTAAGTGCTTAATATGATAAAGTGCCAGCACTCAAATGTGTGTGGGTGTAGCCTTTTAGGCGCACTGCCATCCACACGCACACACACACACGCAGGCACGCTACGAGCATAGCAAATGGCGCATTTCCCTTGCCACATTCATTTTTTACGCTCGACTTAAGCGCCACAATGAAATGAAATGCGTTTGCATGGCAACCCTAAGACTTTTCCCACATCACGACTTCAGATCTTGGCTGCAATTTTGCGCCTTATGGCTTACGTGACTGCACACACACATACGCACACATATAACTTATGGGTGACTTTATAAGCATCTTGAAATGATTTGACATTTGGCATGACAATCTCGCAAATATTTCGCTTACAGATTACGGCATCACCGAGGATGAAATTGTATTGGCCAATGCTGTCTCGGAATCCGCAGAGGCGGAGGCTGCCATGCAGAGCGCCGCCTTGGTGGTGCGTCTCAAGGAGGGCATCTCCTCGTTGGGTCGCATCCTCAAGGCCATCGAGACCTTCCACGGCACCGTTCAGCATGTGGAGTCGCGCCAATCGCGCGTTCAGGGCGTCGATCACGATGTGCTCATCAAGCTGGACATGACGCGTGGCAATCTGTTGCAGCTCATCCGTTCGCTGCGTCAAACGGGCTCCTTCAGCAGCATTAACTTGCTGGCCGATAACAACATTAGTGTGAAGGCACCATGGTTCCCCAAGCATGCCTCCGAGCTGGACAACTGCAACCATTTGATGACCAAGTATGAGCCCGATTTGGACATGAACCATCCCGGTTTTGCCGACAAGGTCTATCGTCAGCGTCGCAAGGAAATTGCCGAAATCGCTTTCGCCTACAAATACGGCGATCCCATCCCCTACATCACCTACTCTGACGTTGAAGTGAAGACCTGGCGTTCGGTGTTCCGCACTGTGCAGGATTTGGCGCCCAAGCATGCCTGTGCCGAGTATCGTGCTGCTTTCCAGAAGTTGCAGGATGAACAGATCTTTGTGGATAATCGCCTGCCGCAATTGCAGGAAATGTCCGACTTTTTGCGTCGCAACACGGGCTTCACTTTGCGCCCGGCAGCTGGTCTTTTGACCGCCCGCGACTTTCTCGCCTCTCTGGCCTTCCGCATCTTCCAGAGCACACAGTATGTGCGTCATGTGAACTCTCCATACCACACACCCGAACCGTAAGTAGTCGTCCCAGCCTATTATTCATATTTCAACTGTCACTTCAAAGCAAGGCTAATTTCATTTGCTGCCTCGCTCTCGGGTCTGCTTTGCTCCTGCCACTTCCTGTGCGACGTTCAACTTTGCGTAATTGGCCGCCCTTGACGCACTTCCGTGCCAAAAGGCAGAAAATGTGGCCAAAGGCAGCATCAACTTTTATTGTGCGCCAAATTAGTTTAACATCGTCCTGGGCACACAATGGCAGAGCGAAGTGGAGCTTCCTTTTTAGCAGCATGCTTTTGCCAATTACCGCGACTGTAATTGTTTTATTCTAACCTTTTTCCCCCTCCCCTCCCTCTTCTACTTGCAGTGATTGCATTCATGAGCTGTTGGGTCATATGCCACTGCTGGCCGATCCAAGCTTTGCACAATTCTCGCAGGAGATTGGTTTGGCCTCTCTGGGTGCCTCTGATGAAGAAATCGAAAAGCTATCCACGGTGAGTAGCGTGTTAGAGTTTAATTGAATTGTAGTTTCATTTAATGAGCTCTTAATGGCTTCCGTTCAGTGTTGGTCTGTTGGCCAGTTGGCTTGTTGGCCAGTTGGCTAGTTGGCTAGCAGCTGTTGGCCTCTAGTCGAGCCAAGTTTAAATGGCGTCAAGTTCGTGCAACGTGCATTGCATTTACTTGACTTGCTTGTGCAGTGAATTGTCACATTTTCATGGCCAGCAATTCACTTTGAATTGTACTCGCACTTAGAAAATGTCAAAGTCAAAGGCAGTATAACTCATTGTTCTTTGTTCTCTGTTCTCTCTCTCTCTCTCCCTCTGTATTTGAATTTAAAGGTCTACTGGTTCACTGTTGAGTTCGGTCTCTGCAAGGAACACGGTCAGATCAAGGCCTATGGTGCTGGTCTGCTCTCCTCATATGGCGAGCTCTTGCACGCCATTAGCGACAAGTGCGAGCATCGCGCCTTCGAGCCCGCCTCCACTGCTGTGCAACCGTATCAGGATCAGGAATATCAGCCCATTTATTATGTGGCCGAGAGCTTTGAGGATGCCAAAGACAAGTTCCGTCGCTGGGTCTCCACCATGTCGCGTCCATTTGAGGTGCGCTTCAATCCACACACCGAGCGCGTTGAGATACTCGACTCTGTCGACAAACTGGAGACTCTGGTGCAGCAAATGAACACGGAGATTTTGCATCTGACAAATGCCATCTCGAAATTGCGACGCCCGTTCTAAGAAGCAATTTCCAAAGCAAATCGAGAGAGAGCCAATCACAATCTACAGGAGCAACTACAGGTGCAACGGTCTCATTAAATACAAATTAATTTTAAATTGACATACCATACAAAAAAAAAAAAAACACACACATACAAACATAAAAAAAACACGACCTCCCCACCACTCACACACATATACAGCGAACCAGCAATCCAAAATTAAGGCACCGCATTGATAATTTTTGTTTCAATTTTTTTTTCGCTTTTTATTTGTTTTCTGTTTTTGGTTTATTTTTAAACAAAGTAGTTTCTTTTAATTCGATTCTCCTCATACAATTGGTAAAAAATATATATTTATTGTTTTCGTCTTTAGTTGATCTTAACTACTATGCCACACCATTATTTTCATTTATTTATCACCCCAACTATTATTGGACCAAAAAATCGTTAGACTCTAAGTGATGTGAAAACAAAGCGTAAGCAAAGCAAAGCAAACTTAAGTAAGAGCTGCAAAGTTCGAAAAAAATGCACGCAAAAAAAAAAAAAACTAAATGAAAAGAAATGGAAAATGGAAAGCACATTTTACACAATTTACATAACATAACCACTTGTATACTCAACCACAGATTGTTTTTGTATTATTTTTTCTAAATATTTGCCTAGATTATACATTCATGCGCGATACCTGGTTGTCGTTCGTTTTGTATATATGTTCGTAATCGTAAATAGCTATGTGAGAACCACTTTGTATTGCCTAACTAAATGTTTTAGAGAGAATTTATCGAAAGTTTTTTCTTGTACAATAACTGCAACGACAATATTATTATTGTGTACTATTATTATTATATTATTATATTATATAAAAATGCTTATGACTATTATGTATTGTATTGTAGGTATGTAGAGTTTAAATTCTATTATTTTATTTAAGTTTTGTGTATTAATAAAATATAAAATGCAATTAAAAACAATTTTTTCGTTTTCTCATTTACTTAACTTACAGCTTTTTTTTATGATTAAGAAAGATATTCAAAGCATGTTTTTGCTTAAATTACTTTCAATATCGTGATTATTCTTTCTCATCTTTTTGATTTTTCAAAAGGTTTAATATAAATTAATTTGCTTCATTTTTTTTTTTAAATCATTTTTGCGCTCTACAATTCAGGCACTTCAACTTTGTAATCGTTTGAAAATGTTTATTTCATGGCTCTTTTTGATCTTACAATTTTGCCATTTAAGCTTACATGCTATAATTATTCCAGTTTTTTTGGGAAATTTTTTAATTTAATTTAAAGGTTGCCTTTTTAGCAAACGTTAATCAAAGTTATTCAATTTTATTATTTTCCATTTGTATGAAATGCCTTTAAATTTTGTACAGATTAATTGTTTCAAGCTTAACTTGCAAGTTATTACATTTTAAGTCTGAATCTGTTTAATACTAGTAAAAATTGTGACATAACGAGGGAAAATAGTTGCTTTAAAAATAATATGAATATATCAAAAATGTGTAAAAGAAAATGTTGAATGCATTTTGTTAAAGCAATTGTGCATAAAAAATATCAAAAAGGTTAAAAAATGCAAATAAAACTTAACCAAAACCATTTAAATAAATGTACTCTATATATACATTCATTTATTTAATATTGTAGAAATCGTAAAGTGAGTTTAAGCAGAAGCTTTGATACTCTGGAAAATGCTATCCGAACCATTTTAAAAATATATTGATATCTCGAGTGGTTTGCTTCTCAGTCCGACCAAAACTACAAGTCTATAAAAAGTATGAATTGAATTGTGTGTATACATTTTCAAAGAATATGGTAAACGTTGGGATCAAAGAAAGAATATATATTGTGAATATAAGTATATGTAGTACCAATTTTATTGCTGTTGTTAATCACATGTTCTAAGCTAATCAAATGTTAACACACTTATGTCTTACTGAACAATTTTAACTCGCATATTGTATTCTTGTATTCGTATTATCGACTCTATTTATAAAGCGCTATAAATAGCCAGTTATGTGTGTGTGTTAAGGCAGCAATATGAATCAGTCCAACATCCGTTGTAGCTGCAAGAAATGTTAACAATTACAAAAAATATATATATGTATACATTTATTCTTAACTATGGGAACTACCACAAGCATTACTGCATAAATAAAGTTAACTTCGGTCTAAAAACAATAAAAAACAGAAGCCGTCGCTGACGTGTTCGCATTTCAATTTAACTGGCAATTACATTTTGTGCTTATGTTTAAGCCAAACTGCTACTAGAATTTATTGGCCACAAAGACAGCATTGACAATGAGCTTGACTGTGGCTGTGGACTGGGCTTAAGAGATCCTGTAAGTGTGTCTGTTATATTTTTTTTTTTTTTGCTTGTGATGGTGATTGAAATGCGATACTTTTTCTGATTTGGTTTTTTTTTTTGAATTATGTATTTCATATGGTAATTTATTTTAATTAGTGCTGCTTTAATTAGCCTTAATTACATTTGAGCTGGCGCTGTTACTGCTGCTATAATTAGTTTCTAACGAACTGTTTGAACGTTCTAAAGTACAGAATTTAGTTTCGTATTTAGCTGAAATGTGGAGAATAGTCGAAACGATGTATACTTGTATTATTTACAAGTATGTATATCTGTAGTTGGTTGATATTCATATTCGTACGAGTATCTTACAGCAGCTGTGCATTTACATGACCTACCTAAGACGGACTATTTTGCAATTAATATTATCGCATACACCTGAGCGCATTTATCATACACTAATCACAACAAAAGCAACAACAATTCTGATATAATAATTGTCTGTGAATTGAATGTGTTAAGCGTCTGGGCATAGACATGCACAGCTGATCGGAGCTGGCGAAGTGTGTGAATTTTTTGTTTGTAACATGTGTTTATGTCTATTTTTGTATAACGACGACTACGCCCACATTCGAGATCAATTAAAATGTTATTTATTAGAACTTAAATGCAGGCTTAATTGTTTGATGAATAAAACAGGCTTCTAAACAGCTGAGGCATTTACGGCCAACACTCGATCGCTCGATTGTTGCCGAGCCATTTCTTGGCCGATTTGGGTCAACTTTTTAAATAAACATGCCTAAGTGGTGCCTGTATAGTATGTACAATATTATGTGCTAATATTTGCACTTGATTTAATTGCGAACTGAGGCGTAGTACCGGCCCAGCCAATAATACTCATAATGGAGTACGTGCCGTCCGTCAGCGATGCGCAATATCTGCCTCTAATTAAAAGCTTAAGAATAATGTTGTCTTCATTTGTTTTTGTTGTTGTTGTTGTTGTTATTGTTGTTAACACATTAGCCAAGGCCATTGAGCAAGTGGGTTAGGGTTGGTGTTAAGTGCAGCAAAGCAGCGGAAATGCTGTTGTTGGCCATTTTTCGGAGTTTGTTGAACTGCTGACTGACATTTTTAATGGCCGGAAGCCAATTGCACTTTGCAATTAAACACTTTTTAATAATTGTTGAATGCTCTCATATTTTTTCGCAGCCCAAACAAGTTTCATTTACAACCAGAACTACACACACTCACACACACTTACACACATTAACAATAAACTTCAATGCACGTTGACTATTGTTTTTTTTTTTTTTTTGGCTAATTAAAAGCATATAAAAAGCCAAGGTTGGTTGGCCGGCTCGGCTTGGCTTGGCCTGGCTTAGCTCGGCCTGGCAGCAGCCTAAAAGACTTAACTAGAACACGTTCATTGGCGGCTGCTGGTATTTCTCTAATCGACAATATCAAAGTCAATGACTTACACTGCTCCGACTTTGGCCAATTTGCTTGGCATTTTGGCCAATTAATTGCATGTTTTAAACTTGTGCTTGAACTTTTCACGAAATTTGATCAAATTGTATATAGATTGGGCGTTTTTCCATTTGTAGTCTATTTGGGTTGCTCTTTTCAATTGAATTTTTTTTTATAAACGCGCGTTGGCCAAACCGTTGGTCGCACAGACTGGATCAGAGTGTGAACAGCCTGCGCACCTGTTGCAAATTCTAATTTAAATATTCCAAGTGCCCGGCGATTTTAATTGCATAGCTTTCGTTGTCTGTAATGTTTATGCTCGTTCGACTAATTAGACCATAAACTGGTTCGCTTTGGGGCGTTGGGGCAGGCTGATTAGCATGTCCATGTCAACCCACAGTTGTCTTAAATATTTGTTTTTTCCTCTTATTTTTACTTACTAGTATTTATTATAAATACATATTCATAAAGATTGTACAGCAGGTGTTTGTGAGTGGTGTTGTTTGGACATTAATATTTATTATCTAAGATGTTTGTTTGAAGAAAGGGCGAGCAATAGCAACCTGAGGGTGTGCTACTTTGTAATACTACAAGTATATATGTAAATGGACTTGACGCTCTCCAATTTAATTTAACTAGAAGGATATGTCAATATATTTCATATTTTTTATTGCCGGGGTGTTGAGAAAAGATGTCTTCTGTCGGGATAAGTTGTAAAAACTGCTACGCTCTATTCCTTGCAATAAACAAATACTGTTTTAAAAGGCTTCGAAACAAACAAATAAAATTTGGCTTATTAAAAGTATATACAATTTTTATTTAAATCAAACTTTTTGTTATTGCTGAAAATTTCTTTTATTTTTGAAAACCAAATTTCGCGTTTTTAAGAAATTTTTGGATTTTGTAGTTCGACTTTGTAGTATACGAGTATTTAGACCAAAAAGTACTCTAAATAGAAAAATCTTGGGATTTACTTTACTTATGCGTTTAAAAAGACGGTCAGTTATAGCTATTCTCCATTCATACTTAGTTCTACATAGCTCTTGAAAATTGTTCTAAAAGAACACGTTGTCCGCATTAATGTAATTATTTAAACACATTAGTTTAATTCAATTAGTTATTAAATAGCTCCTTTCAAATTCCAAATGGTATCTTGGAATTTTTGTAAGTGATTTTCTAGATCATTTGCAGACATCAATATTTCATTTTATTCAATTCGTATAAACTGATTTATTTATTTTTTGATCTGCAGGTAGACCTTTCTTTTGAGTTGACCTTCGGTAAATGAAATTGTATATTTGTGTCATTTAGTGGCATGTGCTGTTAAGTGCATTTCAGAGCATTTATAGTCGACCATAATTAAATGTTATTACCGTACCATTTTACTTGGACAATTACATAAAGGCATAGGCAGGCAGTCGGCCAGCTGCCGTATGCGGGTAATCAGTTCGGTTCAACAACTCGATCATCTGACACCTGGGCAGGCTAAGGGCATAAATTGCTGCTTAGTTGGATGGTGACGACTGCAACGACTTTCAATCATAAATATATTTTAGAATTTTAAATTGTGCGACTAATTAAACGTGGAGAAACCTGTGAGATTTCATGCCCAAGCTGTTGCTGTCTGTCCCAGTCGTGCATAATTAAAAAAAGTGTGCAAATATTTTCCCATTGATATCGTATATAGTACATTCTATATACTAGTACAATGTACAATTTGTTGCTTTGGCAACAGGTGAGCTGCTGGCACGCCGCACAGTCTAAGCGTCTGCTCAGCTGATGGCCTAATGGGGCGTATGAGTGCTGTTTGTGCAATAGGCAAGTCATTAATATTGCAGTTGTTTTTTCAATGCCTCTAGATATTTTAAAACAATAATAAGCTCATTATTTCTATTTGTATGTGGAACAGTTAAGTAGTCATCCAATGCAAATATTTTGATTTTAGTTCACCAAATAGTGGGACACGAGCAGCAACAAATTTTAAACCGTAATAGTAACAAGAGCTGATGCAATATCCTCAATACGAGTATACTGAGCCGATTTCATATGTTTTTCTTTAATTTTGTTCATTTTTGTTGTTGTCATGCTAGCCAACAAAGTGTTGGCGGAAAGTAAAGTACAAATATTTGAGAAATCTGCTAACTCTACTTTGAGTTTTAACAACATTTGCACGCCTCACTGGTTGCTCAGCCAGCAGGCCGACTGATTGACTGGCTAATTGACTGGCTGACGGGCTCGAACTTTGTTTACTTTGGCTAAATAAATGTCACTCCATACGCACGTGCAGGAAGTTAGTTGTCGTTTCTTCATTAATGGGGAAATAGTCTTAACTAATATTAAGAGGATTTTCAATTTATAGTTCCACACACAGAGCCGGAAAATAAAAGATAAATAAATACCATTACTTCTCTACTTTGATAAAATTGAACAATAATAATTAAATACAAATAGTTGCAAATTTTTGACATTTTACTTAGCCAGAAAACATAACCAAAGCTTGAACTATATTTCTCAGTCTAATAATAGCCACAAACGCTAACTAACATTCTAATTTCCGTATAACGAAAAGCTGTTATTCAATTAAAATTAAATTTCAATTGCGTGCCATTGCAAAACTATGACTTAGTGCAGACATTTAATATTCCTTTAAGTAATGTTAACAATAAATATTACTAATGTTGATTCTTACGCTAATCGTTACTATGATAAGGTCTGCTGATTTTGATAAATCGTAAGAAAATCTTGATGGATTATAGCTAACTTAAACCTATCAGAATGATAAGGGTTAAGCAAAAAACTCGTGGTACGAAAAGTAGGACTTCTAAATTTAAATTTTAATAAGATTCCTATATCAGCTTTTAAAAACAATATGTGGAGTTGTTTTTAATGAAAACTCAGATTATTTCAATTTTTTCACCGATCGATTCCTTGAAAGCTATTTTAAATAATGAGGCTACATAGAATTTGCAAATAATTTTATATGCATGTGGATAAGACGATTCTACGTACCGTGTTTGGTGTCTCTATACCTTTTGCGTTTATATCTTATTATGTGTCCTTTAACTTTTCGAGATCAGGGCACAAATAGCGAAATCATAAAATGATCAAATGTGGGAAAACCCATAAATTACAGAAAACATATTACACATTATAAGTGAGGGGAGAAGAATACACCCAAACAAGCGTTCTTAAACGCTAAAATAATTCGTTACAATGTCCACTGTAATTAATAAATTCTGTTAAAGTTATAATTAAAGTGTATGTCCAATTGCCGATAAAATTGCTGCCAACATAATTATTGAACACATCGTCAAAATAATGAAAAGTGGAATGAACACACCATACACACCTAATCCTAAGTCGATTTCGATTTGTATTTGTTATAGTTGCAAAAAATGAAATCTGCTGCCCTCCATTAGGTTCAAACATGAAACAAAATTATGTTAATACAACTATTATTAGTTTAATAGGAACTTAAAAACAAGAACTAACTATTTTAAATCGAAATGCTTGTTATCAATAAAGTCTCTTGTTGTATTACTTTCGAAAAGTTCAGTACGTACACATTGTCCCGACGCCACCTAGCGTTCATTTTTAAAAACAAACTTGCAAAAGCTCTACAAAAAGCGTTTGCGCTGCCAGACAGTACAGTGCCTGCAAAAATTATCATACCACCAACACGATTGAGAAATATTGAAATAACAACGCGAGAATCTTTGTCATAAAAAAATGTACATTTATTTATTAACACAAACACATCTCGTTTCAGTCTTTTGGCAAATTGCTGTCGCTCTTTCCCCTACTATAGGGTCGTGCTCCGCCCAGCATGCGCTCCAACAAGCTCTGCTTGGACTTGCGCTTTGAGGCGAGCACCTCCTTGCACAGCTCGTTGAACACATCGGCCACTTGGTCCACATGATCTGCCGCCGAGACTTCGCTGAACTTGCACTCAAAGTCTTTGGCCAATATTTCGCCCTCGTCGCGGCTCACCTGGCGCAGGTGCACCATGTCCACCTTATTGGCGCACAGCTGCACGGGCGTGTCTGACTGTAGATCGGATTTGGCACGGCGTATATAGTTAAAGCTTTTGCGATCCGTTATGGAGTAGACTAGCAGCAGGCCATCGGCCCACTGCACCAGCTCGGCAGCATTGGGATATTCATCGTCAGCCTGAAAGGGTCGGGGAAATGTAGAAAAGAAATTTATTATCAGCTGGAATTTTATGGAGCTACATTTAATTTTAATTTGTTATAAAATAATTCGAATTTACAGCTTTGCTTTGATTTGGGAATTTAAACAAATCTGTCGAAAACGCGTTGAGTAAATTGGAAAATAATAGCATTTATGGGAATATTTTCCAGAACAGTGATAGTAAAATAAATTCGTTATAATTAGTTGTTGAAAATTGGATAACTAAAAAGAAAGAAAATAGAAAAATACCATAAATCAATTATGAAAACCAAATATGTATATAAAAATAAAAGACATGTTCAATTTAATAAAAAAATGTTCAAATTAATAAAATTATTAAATTGAATTTAAATATAATAGTTGAACACACACAATCAATGTATAAAACAGTTCATCCTGTCAGATTGGCGATCAATGCTATGTGTTAGGAAGTTTTAATTTGGAGAAATTTATACATTGTAGTCTTAGCAAGATTCTTTAGCAAAAACAAAATTATAATTGTTATGTTATTAGTTCTTTACAAAATGAATAACGGTTTGAATACATCTCACAGATATGGCTTTCAAAAATTCTTCCCTAGGATTAGATTCTCTCAATGTTCTATTTATTTACTGATTATTATTTATTTATTTATATTATTTTTAAAATTTCACGATTAACTATTTTTATGGTGACAGTTATATTATTGTATTCATTTATTAATCAACCTTGAAATTTGTTCTGTTAGGTTCAACAAGTCGATTAGATATTGGGAAATTGGGAGAAATCTCTGAAAGTGTTTTGTTAATAACACATGCAAATACTTTTATGTAAGCACTAGCTAGATCAACATATATTCAGCGAAGAATATAGAAGACTATAGCCTGGGTTGATTTCATTTCAGCTGTTCCTAATATTAATATAAAATCGCTGTGTTTGTAAAATGTTCCCATCTCCTAATAACTAATTACTTTTTTAAAATGGTTGGGTAGACTCCCACGGTCGTGTTTGCTAAGCGACAGCGCTGAATTGTGTTTAATATTAAAAACGATCTAGCTATTAGTCTTACCTTTGGACATGTGTCGAGTATTTCGAAAAGGACTGGCTCACCATCCACCATAGCCTCATGCTTGTAGCGATTCTCTGTCTGATGATCGTACTCGCCAATGTAGCGTTTCGTTAAGAAACGGACAATTAAAGCTGCAATTAAATGAAGCACATTAAGAACGATAATTAATGTAAAGCCATTTGCCTAACATGGAGTTTAATTTTGCGTCTATCAGAGGCCGGCATCAGGTGTAAACTGAAAAACGCCCACGCTTAGGCCCAAAGCTAAAGGGCAGCTGCCAAACAACCCCGGGCTTCTGGCTCTCAATGCAAATGTGGGTCAGCACTTAAGCGAGCGTTAAGCGAGCGCTAGACCCGACAATCATATTTAGCGAAGGGGAGGGAAAAACTCATATGCAGTTGCCAGCGTTTGGCGCGACAGTTAAAAATGCAAAGGACAACAGGACCGAGCGCCGAGCACCGAGCACCGAGCATGCTACAACAGCTCTAGGCCGCGTGCAGGTGGAAAACTCGTGTGGGGTTAATAAACTCAAAAGCGGACGGACGACACAACTACAAAAACAACAACGTGCGTGTTTAAAACAAACAAAAAACAATACAAAAAAGGGCAAGCAGTGCGGGTGAAGGGGTAGTGAGTGGGATTGTAGGCCCGGTTGGGGGTGTGCTTTGGTCATTTCATATGCAAGTGCTTTGAACTCGCGTGCTGGGAAATGCGAAATGTGCGGACGTGTGTCTGTGTGTGTGTGTGTGTGTGTGTGTGTGTGTGTGGCCGCCGCCTCTTGGTTGCCTTGGCATTCTTGGCTTTGGTTTTTCCTTTTACGCGTAAATTGACATTTTCATCATTTATTTTCATAGCGCCACTTCTGTTTTTTGTTCCTTCATTTTTGTTTTGGCCGCATTTAATTTATGTTCTCGAAACTTTTTATATATTTTCACGAGGTCAGCGTTTAAATATTTCTTCAATTTGACGATGGCTGCCTGGTGGGCGTTTTAGTTATCTCACACATTTGGGCGAGATTGGCGGCTGCATGACATTAATATATATTGTACATAGCAACAAATATTTCATATGTCTGAATGTTTTTCAGAATGGTCTGTGGTTTTTTATATTCGTGAAATCTTGATCTCATTTTAATCGATCTTCTGCATTTATCTGAAGACATTGAATAAACACATTTTGATTATCGCAGCTGGATATTGATGGCTTTATAAAAAGAGTGCTTCAAGATAGGAATGGTCTGCCACTCACTACTTTCGACTATGGTTAGAATGGATCATGGGCTTCAGATATTTTAAAATTACTTAAACATTCAAAAAATATGGAGTGTCAACATAAGAAACGAGCTTTATATAATAATTTGTTAATTATGTCTCCTATATGTGGGCGAAATTAATTTGGCCGAATTTATAGCCCAGACCTAATAAACAAAAATTAAGAATTAACTGCTTTATTGAAGAACAAGAAAATAAGAAGTTCCCCAACATATTCGACAAATTATTTTTTCCGGACATATTTAGGGAAACTTTTACTAAGAGAAGATGCGACATATGTTTATACTCAGAACATACTTGTATGTGTATACTATAAGTATATAGTAATTATTACGATTGTGGAAATATTGGCCCATCGCCTTACAGTGCAGATATTGTGGCTAATACACAAGTCATTACTCTAAGCTTTAAGTTTGTCTTTACAAGGCAATATTAGCATTGATCTTAAGGTTCGGCATTCAAAAGTACGTATTCAAATCATTTAGATATTTAAAGAAATATGCATGGAATAGAAGCAATCAGATTAATAAATGTTAAAATATCAAAAGCTGATGGCAACTTTTTCCTCTCCTTTATATAATTAATTGTAGAATTCAATTCGGGTACATGGAAATTCTATATGTTCTGACTAATCGAAAACTACAAGTATGTTTTATAAAAAACAATTCTAAATGCATATAAACAAAGTAGTTCGTCTTACGAGTATACCCAATATTGTGTATCAAATATTATTTGTTTTTATGATATGAAAAGTGCAATTGAAATTTCTGAAAATCAAGTTCGAACACTTATGATTGTTTGAATTAACCATAGGAAGACTCAGCTTTTCAAATATATATATATTTTCAGTTTCGAAAAAAGTCTATAGACTTGGTCATTTCTTTCTATCATTACAAATCATTCTTTTAAATAACCACAGGCTTTCTCTGCATTTGTTGATGGATTGTTTTGATGACTTTCTATTTCTGACGTCACTGTTTTATAAGAATAATAATAAAAAAAATAATAAACACCTGCCAAGGCGTAACATAGTTTGTCTGAAATCTCTTTTTCAGCCCTTCGATCTAATTATAAGTTGCATTTATTTTATTCATGAGCCTGCCTGCAGAGGCATAAATGCAAATGTAGGTCATTGTCATGTCGTATAGGCTGCCATAACCCATCGGCCAGCTTCTCGGCATTTTCCACAATATTTTTTTTATTAGTCTAGCATATTTTCTAGTCATATTTCATGCGTTCTCTACCCCGATCGCTCTGGCGTGTGCTCACACAATTTTTTTGCTCCTCAAAAATATTCATTTTTTCTGCTTCTGCATACGGAAAATGGGTTTGTGTGGCCAGCGTTCACATGTGTAGTCGATTGCGGGGATATACGGCGGGCAGGTGACAATGCCATGCACTCTGAATTAATATCAACTTGATGGCCGAGCATCCGGGGTGCTTACAAAATACTACAAATTAAAATGGCCAAGTTGGGCCTCGACGTGGTACGTGATAGCTGACAGGGAACATCAATTTGCGTTAAGACCGCTGCCCTTTCTGTGTGTGTGTGTATCTTTCAGATGAAATGTGTGGGCTGGAAATTCCTTAATAGTTTCTCGATAAGTTCGAGTGCGTGATCTAGATGCTTTGGGATCTTTAGGTGCAGTCATAAATAGTATAAAGGCAACTTTTGGGGCTGTTATTTGCTTGTCAAATAGAATGTGTGTGGAATTTGACTTTCGATGCGTTGTGCGATTAAAACGCAAGGCAAGAGGCAAGTAGCTGAGTGGCAAAGTATGTAGATGCTTTTGGCAGCGGCATCTACAATATATGTACATACATACATACATATACATAGTACACAGATACGTATATGCCACTTTATAAACAAAACAAACAAAAGTCTAAATATATACACACGGCACGGCGCGTCGATTGCTCAACTAATTTGCTGTTGCTCATTGAAGTCATTGTCTGGGCATTGGTTGGGGCATTGTTTTATTTGGAGTACGTGCTGCTTACCGCTCTTTCCAACACTGGGCGCTCCAATCACCGCAATTTTCAACTCTGTCAGCGTCGATTTCTTACGCCGAATACCGCGCGTCGTCATCTTGCGAATTCAACGAATTTTCCACGGCAGGCTGTGGCCACTTTTTCTATATATGCAATATATTTATTTATTTTTTTCTATAGTCTATAGTCTATCGTATGTACTATATACTTGTGTATATTCATATGTTATACAAGTATGTATATATGTATATCTGCATATATCTGTAGTCTTTGCTGTTTATCTATTTCACTTTTAATTATATTCCTTTGAACGCTTTGTTTTGGTTTTTGTTTTTTTTTGGTCAGCAATTCATTTCAATGTCAAAACAAGCGTAAAGAATGCGTTTAAAATTACATATTCTAGTATTTTGTATTTGCCAGATACTTTAATTTGTTTCCCGTATCTAACATTCTGTCTTGTGTGTGCCTGTTTTTATAATTACTATTTGCTTTTTAATGTTTTGTTCACCATTTATTTGTGAACTAAATACTTTTTTATACTTTATTTCTTTTGCACTCTGGCATATATATGTATATATATGTATCTGTATATATGTATTTACGTAGATAGCAATTTAAACGCGCACTGCACTTTTGCCATGTGTACATTGGCTTTATTTATTTATTTCAACCATAACTTTTGGCGTATCTCTGGCTGTCTTCTTGTTGTTGTCTTTAATTTGTACACTGACCGGACCGAATCGCAACGAACCGCCCGCCCGCATGCTATTTGTGCGGCCAACAAATTTGTACTAAAAACAAATCTGTGCTACGAAATGCGGCGCACGATCCGTTTGCGCCGATCGTTCTCCTTTTAGCCATGCTGACAGAGCGTAAGGCGCGCCAACAACAAATATTTCAATATAAATAGCACAGAGTGTGCTCTCCAGACACACTGCGAGTAGTGTGAGAAAATTGGGAGCATTTTCCAAGGGTTAAAGTTAAGCCGCCAGCAATTGGATAGATGATGTCGGCATATCTTTTGAGCTAATCGGGCCAAAGTTGCCGTTGTCGTTGGGCATTAGACCGAAATAGCTGTACTGATTGATACATTTGACTGTTGCTGCACATCTGAGGTGGAAGTTGTTGGCTCATCACATAACTTAAGTGTACGTTGTCTGGCGGCTTTGGGGCAAATGGCTCCACATGACTTGCCGTGCCGAGCAACTGTAAATGCCGATTGAAATTTAATGGAAACAGCTGTGCAACTGTTTCTGGTCGGCCATCACAATTTTAATTACACAAATATTTAATGCAAATTCCCATTTGCAGCTGCGTCCATCAAAATATTTATTCAAAATAATGTAAATATGAAATGACCAAAACTAAATGGTGGGTGGTCATAAGTTCCGGTTTGCCTATCATAATAAAACATGTAATAATGTCAATGAAACTCTAGACAGCATATCAATCATTGAGTTACTATTGCAGTGCAACCCTCGACACGCATTTATTTTACTCGATGTACGTGTGTTTGCGTGTATGTGTCTGTGTATGTGTGTATCTGTGCTTAAGTGCCTGCGGGGGTGTGTCTGCGCTTAAGGGTTGAAAGGCGGTCGGCCTGCAAGCCGGAAAATCTTTTCACTTAAAGCACTACTGTATTTTCACGCAAGCACCTCAAAGTATGCAACGCAATTTTTGACAATGCTAAGTCACACTAGTGGCCAACATAATGCGCACAATGTCAAACAATCTACCGCCTGCACACTGGTACTAAATACAATTTTTGCTTTTATATAAATTTGCAAAAATATAAATATAGACCTGCAACATTTATAAAAATTGATTTAAACTGTACACGAGTCTCGCTCAATTATCAGAACGAAAAAATGAATAACATCGTTTTATTTATACAGTTAAGAAAAATGTATTAAAAATGTATTTTTTTTTCATTAAATACAACAACATTTGCTGTTTATTTTCAACATTTTCTAATTATTTTTTAAAGCAAATAATATGTGCTTCGTGTTAAAGTCGTTGAAATTCTAGAGCTTCTCAAGTAGGTACATATTTATAGTTGTTACTATTCTATTATCTGGGAGATATTATAAATTATTTATTTTAATTTTTTTTAAATCTTTAATAAATAAGTAATCTAATTTCTAACAAAAAAAATAAAATTCGATTTGGCACCAGTGTGGCCAGGCTGGCTGTCTGACTGAGTGGCTGACTGGTTGCTTTAGCCACTGCCGTCGTTGCTGTAGTCGCCGTCGATGTCTAGCCCTGCTGCTTGAAGCACACACTTCGTTTAGTTTTCATTCAGACGGCGAAGCGTTTGGTACGCGCACGCGGCAACGAATCCGAACCAAAACGTCCCACGAGCGACAGCGACCCGCGCGCCAACCAACAACAGTGAAGTTTTGTTAGTTGTTGTTGTTGTTGGCAGCTGCCGGCGACGGCGAAAAAAAGAGATACATATAAATATAAATAAAAACAAAAACAACAACGCTTTTGAAGAAGGCAGCGCGCGCGCGCTTTTCGGTCTGTTACTGTGTTTTATTCGAAATATATTTATACAAGTATTTTTGTAGAATTTACTTTTAGAAAACGTTTCTAAATATTTCTCTATTTGCTTGTTGTTTTTGCTATATCTGCTGCTATTGCTGTTATTGTTATTGCTCTTCTTATTGTGCTTGGCAGTGTTGAATTTAAATATATTCACTAATTTAACCGAAAATGAAGAAGAATTAGAAAATTCCATGTGACAGTTGTACGCAGGTTTCTCGAGTGTGGACGTTGTTGTACTTAGAAGAGGAAGCGGAAGAAGTAGAAGAAGAAGAAGAAGAGGAGGAAACAAGTGCGCGTGTGTTGTGCTGTGCGAGAATAATAAATAGAAGAAACGGGACCATATAAATAGATATACATAATGAACCAATTATGAAATGATGCCATGTAAATAATTGATGAATGGTGATTGAATTAGAAGAAATTTGTCTCTTAAATGGATCATTCATACAACGGAATCTGATCGAGCAGCTAAATGATGAACAAATTATTAAAGCAAACATTTACTATTTGTTCAAAATATACTATACATATATTAATAGAGTCATCAAAATGATGAAAATATGTACAATATTTTGGATTTGCACCGGTTCTATCAAGAATGTGGTGGTTTCAAACATTTAAAATATACATATCGAGTGAGCAAATGGAATTTTCTGGGCTTAACTGTTATTTGTTTTATATATATTTATATAAATATATTGATATATATAGTTTAACTTAAAAGTAATATTCATAATTAATAACTGCGCTACCAGCATGCTACAGATTTCAAGGAGTTTTCGAGTTGGGATCGTACTTGAAAAAAGATGAATTTCTTTCTACTTTTACATCCGAATTGTAGTTGTAGTAAAATTTGATCAAGTGTGGGATAGAGATCTAAATAAGCTATAAATTTCAAAATTCGAATATTCTAAATCAAAGAATTAGTGAAGACAGCGAATCTTTCTCAGTATATGATTTTATTAAAAAGTGTGAATCGAAATATTCAAGTAAAATATTCCTAAAATATCAGTTAATGAAAAACGAAGCATTTCAAATGTCTGATGTGGAACGAGTATAAAATCTGAGAATTCAATTAATATAATAATAAAGATTAATTATATAGTACTTGGTTCATTCCTAAGTTTTAAAATGAAAGAAATGCTCTGAGCTCTAAATACATAAATAGTAAGTCTAAAATGTTTAGTAAATAAATTCCATTTACTCCCAATCATTATTGCTCTTTAGAATGGCATTGAAAGTCCATTATAAGTAATTACCTCTAAGGGGTATAAGCTAACCGCTAAGTTTCAAAGAACTATAAAATAATGGCAGACACATTCAAAATGAATGCCACTCTCAAAATTGTGATGTCATCGGCGGTCAATCAACGGACGACGACGACGACGACGGCCAACGAAACTAAAAGCGAGCATGATGATGTGACTGGAAAAGGCCAGAGAGACGAAAAAAAGCGAGTCAAGTAGAAGAAACATCACTGACTTGGTGACTCAGTTTGGGTTTTCACTTTTGCGAGGGTCGGGCACGTGTTGCATCTGCTTGAAGGATGTACGCAGTATGTTTAGGGAGGTAGGAAGGGAGTTAGGGAGGTAGGTAGATGGTTACCTAAACAAACAGCAGCCAGCGTAATGCGAATGAAGTCATCAGTCAGTGTGGGAAGCAACAGAAAAGCATGAATAAACGAAATGTATATGTGTGGAAAAGCCGTTACGGGTTAAATTACGGAAAAATGCAATGCAGTTGGCGACACTCTGACGTCCTTCGTCTGTACATTTATAGCCTGCGAGCTAGTTCGCTTCATTTGTCCCTGGCATAATGCATTGCCCGCACCTCCCCAACCACGGCCACAATCGCAGCCACTTTCCGCTTATTTTTCCACACTATGCGCGGGTAATTTAATCATCCGGGCGCACAAATTAAACTATATTGACGCAGCGCTTAGTGATACAGTGCAAGGATACGCGTAACCTTGGTGACAGGCGCTCACAACTAAGCGCTGCGTGTGGCACTCCCCCAGCCAGTCCTCCTTCCTTGCATCAGAAAATGTGCACGAAAGCGACGTTAAACAAATTGTTGTAGTTTTGTTTTTATTGGCGTCCTTTTTTTTGCCGTTGACGTCGCCGTCTGTTGCGTGTGGCGCCCGTTCGTCGCGTCTGTTGCATGTGCCACTCAAGTGGCAACTTTGTGTTTATGTTGCATCATTGCCAAGTGGTTTTGCATGCGCCATTCTCGAGTTTCTGTTTCTATACGTATCTGTATCTGTGTCTGTGTGTGTGTGTGTTTGTTTGTTTGTGTATTTATGACACAGTTCTGTGCAGTTGCCATTTTGGTGACCCCGAGCATTGATTCGTCATTTATCTTCAAGACTCGCGGTTGCTTACAAATTAAGTAATTTATTTGCACACCGTAGCCGGCGCCTAGACAAAGGTGCCGGCATAAACAATGGGCCATAAAGTAGCATTAGAAATAATGGTAAGCCGACGCGTCTGCTACAATTCCATTGCATGCCCCGACAGGGTGGCAACAACATGCCAATACACAGCAGCATAAAAGCATAAAAGTAAAAGCAACCCCTTTTGCGGCACCCCTCGGATGGTGTTGCAATAAAAGAAAATTGGAATTAAAGCAAGCCACTATAGAGTATGCCCATCAATCAAATGGCCTAAAATAAAATCTACGCAGCACACGGCAAGACGTTAGAAGAATATTTGCTAAAAGAAATTGTAGAAACCACCCTGCCGCCGTGTCGCAATGTGTCAAAAACCACCCTTACAGACAATGGTGAATGAAACCACCCCGAAACAAAAGCCAAACAACAGACCTAACTTTAAGATACTTTTGATGTTGACGTGTATGGCTGCTGTCTACCTCGGTTTTTGGGGCAAAACTTAAATGTACACCCGCAATGTCTGAAGCTTGAACTTGAATTCGCAGAAAAAACGGTAGAAGCTGCCGATCCACATAAAAACTGGACAAACAACTTCAGGCATACGAGAATAGCAGGCAACATCGAAATTAAAAAAAAGACATTCTAATGGCAAACAATGGACCGGCACACACATACACACACACAGATACAAATACACAAAGGCTACAGAGAGTGGCGGACAAGGTTTCAAAGTATGAAGTAAGCATATGAAGTAAGCGAATCGATATGGTTGAGAGAGGTGTACAGTGGAGCAGATGATAATAAAAATGTTAGGCAGTCGGAACGAGCTTGCTTGCCGGAAAGCATTCGACTGTGGCCACTGTATGATGTCATCAGCGGCGTCATCATTATCATTAACAGCAACAACATCATCATCATCGTCATTATCATCATCACTAACATTGGATACATTAGCTCAACAGACGGTGGCAGTCAGCTCCGAAACGAACCAACGACAAAATCATATTAGATATATTTGTATATGTGCTGATTTTTCAAAGAAATGTTTACATTTCTATATGCTGGGGGTCGACAGTTTGTGCGCGTCTGTCCGCACATCTGTTAATGATTTTTCTTTTTTTATATTTTAATACTAAAGTATATATCCCCGTTTTTTCGTTCTTTATTTTCGAATTTTGAGAAACTTGGCATGTCTGGGACATAAACAGCATTAAACAACAGTCGAAATGTGCAAAAAGAAAATAAAAGGCGAATGGAGAAAAGGAAACGCAACAATGTCTTCACATAAAGCGTCCCATTGTTGCGATCCATAAATTATTATGCCCTTAGAACAGCTTTTTTGTAAACTTGCTATCAACGAAACTTTTTATAGAGCCGCTTTTTTCTATCATGGCTATGCGAAAAGCAACCTGTACAGTTTCTAGTTCTCCTTTGTTCAAGTCTCATGCTTCAGCATTTATTGGTGAGTTCAAGATCTGCACATGCTCGTTCAGGGCGATTCTGGGGGATAATGAATTCACCTCCAATGAATACTTGGGAAAAATATACGTCAAAAGGATTGCTCAGATAAAGTCTATGGAAAAAGTGCTTCAAATGTATTAACTGTAAAAAAATTTGAATAAAATGTTAAGAGAAGTTTGTTTTCCATTCCTGAATAGTACCTCAGATTTTCAACTGATTGAAAATCAAACTAAAGATGGTTGAAAACTTTGTTTAGTTTTAGGAATCGATGGCAACTAGTTTTGGTATTACAACATTTTCCAAAATTTGCAATCTAAGAACTTATAAAATCATTACACAAATAAACTTTCTGAATATAATAATTAATTGTAAGAAGATATCAAATTACTTGTTAGCACATTTCCTGACTACAACATTCTATTGAGTTTAAAAATAAGTCCAATTTATTGATGAAAATTTGGTGGTACCTTTTAGCACACTCCTTCGTGAAATTTGATAAGAAGCAAGTTTCTCACATTTCATAAATCATTTTAAATGGCGCACATATGCTTCTGAACTCTAGGTAAGACACCCACGCAATAGTTGGACCGCACCCTTATGTCATACATTAAATCAGTGATTTGCCCGGTGACTCGTACTGTGCGATGTTGTAATAATTTTTGCGTGCATTTTCATCTCCCCAAGAAATTTGTATAGTATTTATGTATTAATTTTTGTTTTTCTTTTGGGTATGTGTGTCAAAGCTTTCTGCGGTCTTTGCTCAAGAATTTGATGACTCAGTTGCGACGCCAACTCGCCTGCAGACACAACAAGCAGATATATGTATACTCGTACATACGACATGTATGTAGATGCCAGAGTTTTTGGCTATTTTGGTAACTGCCTTAGACACTCTTTTCTGCTCAGTACGTACGCTTCTCTGACACAGCGAGAAAAGTTAGGCGGCCTGAAACTAGGACAAACTTTTTTGGTTTCTGTTTTGATTATGCGAGACGCTGGCTGTTGGTGGGATTTAGGCAGCTTCGGCTATCGCATCTCATTGTCGACTGTGGCAGTTAAATTGGCAACGCATTGGCATAAAATTCAATGCCAAGTTGTCAGACAGCCGCCAAAAAAAAAAAAC